TTTATTAAGTTTGTTATTTTTATGTTTTATATTGGATTTTTTTAATATCGGATATTATGTGAGTGTAAATTAAATCACGAAGTTGTTTATCGTGAACTTGAAATAATGTAAAGAATAATGATAATAATCTTTGATTTATTAAAGTGAATATATTAAAAATGAATGTATTAAAAATGAAAATATATTAAATATATTAAAAATAAAATATATTATTATAAATTAAAAAAAATAAATATTAATATAAAAAATAATAATTAATAAATAACAATTATAAAAATTCATTCATTTACGTGCTGCTGGGTATTATGTCTTTATTTCGAAGTAATATAAGATCTTTTGCGATGGATTTTCGAAGATTGGAATTTAATATTTGATGCTGCTCGGAAAGTAAATTTATTAATTGATGCGGAAAATTACTGGTTTCTTTAGGATAGCATTGAGCTACCTGTTAAAAAATTGTTGAAAATATTTATTTATTTATTTATCTATTTATTATAATTGTAGAAAAGAATTTTGAATTTTTTAAGATATAATTAATTAATCCAACCTGCGAGATAAAAGTAATCAGACTACCAAATTCCTCTGCCTCTTCGTCGGGTTTTAATTTAAAAATTGCTAATTGTGACTCAAGATGTCTATATTGCTGTAAAAAATCTTCTCTATAAGAAAGTGGGTCCCGTTTAATTAGATTTTGAAGTTGAGGAAGGTTTATTATTAATATTCTATTACGTTTCCCCATTTTCAATTTTTTTACTGAAAAATTTTTTTGATTATTATAATTTTATCCGCAGTAATAAACGTGACTTTATAACCCATTGATATTAGTTACACGAAGATCACGTCTTATGATCTACCTTGAATTCGTTAATTCTATTGGTTCTTTATTAAACAGGTGATCAGAAAAGTCAATGTGTTATACCCATTAATCCGAGTGTTGCCTATTTTATAAAACGTCTTTTTACGCGTCTCTTCCTTGTTTTTGTAGTTGCTTTTCTAATACATTTTTATCATGTCTGAAACCACTTCAAGTATTAACTTTCGAGGAGAGTTATCTACATCTAATGATATCCCATACCTCAAGTATTTTGAGCTTTACTCATATGAAAATTGGTCTCTCCACCGCTACGTCTCCCTTATAATTGATAATTATAAGTTTGCTGAGAAAGATTATACACATTCCTTATTTTTTCGTACTCTGCGAAATATTATTAATAATTTGTGTATATTGCAAGAAATTCGGGATATCGCACAAAAACTCATAAAAAATAGAAAGGTAGGCATAGTAAATATAATTAATAAGATTTGATGGGGCCTTATCGCCAGGTGCTTGTACCTATTGGAGCATCTAGTAGGGACTATACAAGTACTGAAATGGATGCGTTTGTTGGGATGCCTGACAAACATATGGAATTTATTGATATAAATTTTTAGTAAAGATCTGTTGATTCTAAAGGAGGATTCAACTATGTATCTTTCTTTACATGAGTGGACATTCGTCAATGAAGTAGAATATTCTCCAGCATTCCAGAAAAGAAGAGATACTTTCGTGTCCTCCGGTAGATAAAATCAAATATCACCATGCCCCCCCGGAAAATATATAAGAATGTCAAGATAGTATTTATTGCGGAAATCCGATTCCAAAAAACGATAATTTCTCACCAGTTCTTATACGGATGTCCACTTAATGAAAATTTATCTATTGATATATTCTTGCACCCGCCATCTAATCTCATTTTTACATTATTGTGTTTACTGGGAAATATTTCTCATCTGGTTTTGCTTTTTATAGGCCGATATAAAAAAAGTAAATGGTTTATGGAATAAAGCTATTAAACCATCAGCATCATCATCATCGCCACCGAAAACATCATCATCACTACCGGTAGCATCACCATCATCATCGCCAACATCACCATCTCCATCATCGATACGTAATGATTACAATAACAATGATCATGAAGATGACAATAGTAATGATAATGATGAAAATAATAATAACAATAATAATAAAAATAATAACGATAATGATAATAACAGTAATAATAACAACAATAATAACAACATTAATAACAATAATAGCAACGATAATTATGATGATGATGATAACGATAACAATAACAATAATAACGACAATATCAACGACGATAATGATAACAATAATAATGGTAATAGCGGTAATAATAATAATAATAATATCAATAATAACAATAATAGCAACGGTAATAGTAATTCTATTCAACGAAGAAGAAGAAAAAGAACAGTGCCTACCCTATCTCGTCGGAATGATAATGATAATAGTAACGATAGTAATAGTGACGATAATGATAATAATGATGAAAATGATGATGAAAATAATGATAATAACAATAACAATAATAATTACAATAACGGTAATATCGACAATGTCGGCGAAGGTAATTATAGTAACAACAATAACAATGATAATAATAATGTAATATCATCATCATCATCGCCAGCAATAGCAACAACAACAACAACACCATCACATAATTATAATCTTCGCCATAAAAGAAAAAGTAAATACGATCGTGAACCTGTAACTAAAAAACGTCGTAAAAATAAATCATCATCATCATCTCAACAACCATCACAACAACAACCATCACCATCACGACAACAACCATCACCATCACGACAACCATCACCATCACAACCATTATATGATAATTTTGATTTTTTCGAAGATAATAATTATGGCAGTGGTGATGATGATAACAATAATAACAATAACAATAACAATTCATGTATGGGATGTCCCGTACATTGTCCATAATCCATTTTTTATATTTTTATCCTGTATTTTATTAATAAAGATTTCGGTTAGAGGAACGTACAATGTAACATGTGTTATATATATTAATCGTGATCAGCAAGTTCCGACCATTGGACAGGATATCACATGTTTATTAATAAAGATTTCGGCTACGTGCTAACATGAATTATTTTTTCGTGTTATGTAGGTATATATAACTAATAGAAATAGAAATTCTGAAATTTGCGTTCCAAATTGGAACGGAAACGTATTTTTTTAACATTATAATTTAAATAAATCTGCACCTTATATAAAAGTTATTAACAAACATGTCATCAGAGCTTGATTTATTGAGACAACGAGTTGCCAACCTTGAGGTTGAAAATACCAAGTTAAAACAGATCATAGAAGAAATTGCTAATCTTAAGATCGAAAATACAAAACTAAAACAAATAATAAAACAAAATCGAACTACTAATATTACTTCACAGTCTCCAGTTTCTCGGGTCTTATCAGTAACTTCACAAATGCCTACTCTATCAATTAATAGTCACGATAGCACTGACTCTGTAAATCTAGAGCAGACGCAAAGTGATACACCCGAGAAAATTATTTCTCCAGAACAGATAGAGAACACATCTGATAACGCGTCTAATTCTGATATATATCAACCCATAATCATAGAGACTAAATCGTTGGAAAATAAAGAAGTCGATGAATTCCTGGATTCGAAAGATAAGGAAGGGGTTAGTAATATGATAAGAGAAAGAAACAAGGAAAAAAAGTTTCGGGACTTATCTCCAGTAGAATCAGAAAAAATCGTGAATAAAATTCACGATCAAAATCTTAACGAATCCTCTAAACCATCTATTAATTCTGATTCTACAGATTCATTTGAATATAATGATGATCTTTCTCAACTTGACAAAAACCAGATTGTAGAACAAGATTTAAAACAAGAACTATCTGCCTCTCCAACTTCCAGAAAAAATATAACTAGTAATCGGGACCTGCTGGATGGTGAAAATCAACATAATCAAGTTACGGCACAAAGCATAGTTTGTATATTTCGAAAAGCAATTCAATCTGGTCGGGAAGAAATCTTGCATTGGTGTCGCTATATAAAAAGGTATGATAAAAGGGTTAATGAGATTATTTCCGATGGTAAAGTTAAGATTAAAACAGCAAAGAGTTTGGTATATAAAGAAGTTAAACAGCTACTTCCTGACACTACGGATGCGAATCTGCGACAGAAAACTCTTAGAGCTAGAAAAATCTATAATCTTTTTAATGCCATAGGAATAGAAAAAATCGAGCAAGTTACGTATAGCGCAAATGCTATTTCAAACCTTACTAACACTCAAATTCAGAATATTATAAATCATGTACTATCAGCGGAGCTGGCACGGCCAAAAACCGTGAATAAAATTCACGATCGGAATAATTCCGAAGTAAGTGAATCAACCACAACCCCTGTCCCACCATCTCCATCATCTCATAACTCTTTACCGGAGACCGAGGTAAGTACACTTATAGTATCTCACCCCGAAGAGGCTTCATTGGAAAGTGTATCAGCTAATAATATATCTCCAGAAACTAAGATCCCATCCACGCCTCAGATAAGTATACAAACTCATGACCGTGCTTACTTTCGTAACAAATTATTGGAGCAGTATCCCAATTTATATAAAGAATATAGTGATGGAAATGATGATTATTATGGTAT